CCCAAGACTACAATAGGATTTTTAAAAAGTAATTTCATTTCTACCCAAAATGGCTAAAGATATATAGGAAGTTCTTTGAATAAGTAGAAATTTAAATTTAGTTCTTGCAATAATTTGTACTAATTCTTAGAAATATAAAAAAGTCAAATCATATGACAATTTTTTTAAATGCAGCCTGACAGAGAATACAATCATAAGTATAGAAATAATTATAATACCGTCTCAAATGTTTTGAAGGATAGAAGGTAAAGAGCATAAGATATTGTAATATGGAAGAAAGAAATGAACAAAGATGCTTTACCTATTAAACGTTTCTTTACTATTTTTTTTGTTATGTAACTAAACCTTGCAACTGGATGCCCACAGTCCTCTGAATTTATAATGTAGTGAAGAATTACTATATATATTTCCAATTTAAAAGAACAATATATCCCTGGATTCTTTCATTTTCTTTTACCCAAATGGCTCAAATTCTCCAGAGAAAACTGTTAAGAAATTTTGTGTTAAAACCTAATCCATCCATTTTATAGTCAAAATTAAGCTGATATGAAAAATAATACACTTGTAAATTTTCATTTTTCAAAAATATATTCCTACAAAAGGAATGAAGACTTTTGTTTTTGTTTATGAGATGAAGCGGTAAATGCGGTTTAAAAAATATATGACCAGTGACTCTTCTTTTCTTCTCTTACACAGAACTTTCTTGGAGGGAAGGGGAGGAAGAACGCTTAAGGCCCAGAGGACTCACAGTGTGTTTTTGAAATGCAAAACAATTTATAATGTAACCAAGTATTAAATCAAATTCTATGTGCTTGTAATCCATTACTTGACAGTGTCAAGATTAGGCAAATTCTTTTCAACCGGGGTTAAGAAGATAAAGTGATCCACGGTCTTCCTACAAGGGACCCCGTGACGAGGAAGCCTGAATTGAACCTTGCCCCTTCCCCTCTTGCATGCTGGAATTTTGTCACCCCGGACTTCCTTCAGTTCCTGAAGTGCACTCTGCCCCGCTCGCTCAGACAACTGCAGCTGTTCTCCCCGTCCACCCACTCGCCCTGAGCCCTGTAACCACCGCTCCACGCACGACGCCCACTCAGGCGCTCCCTGCTTGTCACCGCTTCCCCATTCTAGGACATCGCCAAATGGTGGAGTCGCTCAAGGAAATCTCCCTGACCCCTAGAACCACTGCAACATTGGAAATTCACCTCTCACCGAGCTGAGCTTTCCCTTATTGACAACTGATGAATAAGACGCATTGTACTCTCTCCTGCTTCAAATATTATCTAGAAATTAACTACTTATCCAAACTTCTGTCGATACTTGTTTTATCCTATTTTAAAAGCATATTTTAATGCACTGATAAATACATTAATTTTCCATCTCAGATTTTAATAAATACCGGTGTTTTGATTTTTTTTTTTTTACATAACTACAGTCTTCCAGGTCGTGGGTTTCAAGATTGCTTTATAAATTATCATAAAGTAAGCAAACCTTTAAGGAAGAGTTATGAAATGAAATTGTGATAAAAAGTTGGAGATGGTGGTCTTTCCTATATTATGGTAATGTAATATTACATTTTTATGATACATGAAAAATTTTGCTCATGAGTGCTCACTTCTCTTGGATAAATATTACCTTTCAAGATAATTAAGGCTATAAATATCTCAGTACTTCAGAAGCCATAAAAAGTAGCATTAGTAACTTCAGGATGCAGTTTCTGTAACTTAACATAAAGAAGTTTAAGAGGGCTATATGCCATTGCTTTAAAGAACTAGAAACTATTATACAATTCTAGTACAGTAAGACTGCAGTTGCAGAAATGAAGCATTAAAACTAAAGACAGATAACATTAAATTATTATTTAGTTAGACCTAAAAACATGTAAGCATACAAAATACATTAAAAAGAAAACAAGAACTTCAGTCCTCAGTCTTTTTAGCCTACAGAAAGCATATCCATATTAACCTTTCTTTATAAGAGCAAATTAAAATGTTGAGAAGAGCAGCTAAGCTATAAAGAGTGTTTTGAAAGAATATGTTATATTTTTTTTCCTCCTACAATCAGTGGTAGGATTTTCTGTTCTCTGTTTCCACTTGTGTTTTAATAATGCAAGCATCCACATTCTCACTTTTCCCAAATAGTTTTTCTCTTCTGGATTGATTGAAAAAATTCATGTGAAGATTACTTACCACCTCCCATCCATTAGGATGGGTATTATCAAGAAAACAGAAAATGCAATGTTAATGGGGCTGTGGAGAAATTGGAACACTTGTGTATTGCTAGTGGGAATGTAACATTGTATAGCCACTGAAGAAAATCATACGATGATTCCTCAAAATAGTAAACGTAGAAATGCAATATGGTTCATGTTTTCCACTTCTGGGTATATAGCCAAAGAAGTGAAAGCAGGAATTCAAACAATACGTGTACACCCATGTTCATTGTGACATTATTCACAATATCGAAAAGGTAGAAGCAATTCAGGTGTCCATAGACAGGTAAATGGATAAAGTATGGTGTATACATACAATAGGATACTTTTCAGCCTTTTTAAAAAGGAAGGACATTCTCACACATGCTACAACATGGGTGGCCCTGGAAGACATTATGCTAAGTGAGATAAGTCAGTCACAAAAGGACAAATAAAAACAATAGAGACTGAAAGTGTAATGTTTGCTGCCAGCAGGTGGGGGAAGGGAAGTGTTTAATGGGCACAGAGTTTTGGTTTGCAAAAGTGAAAAAGTTCTGGAGATGGATGGTGGTGATCATCACACAATAATATGGGTGCACTTAATGCCACCAATCTGTATGTTTTAAAATGGTTAAAATGGTAAATTTTGTGTTATGTATATTTTACCACAATAAAAAATATAAGAAAGGGTTTACTTGGAACTTGGTTTTTGATTCCTTCTAGGAGTGTTATTATTTTAAGAGATACACAAAAGGGAAATCCTTAGTGAATAAGCCAGTTAGACATCCAATGGTGAAGAATTAAAATGCAGTGAGCTGCAGGAAAAAAATTTAAAGGATGGAAAATTACTCCTTCTCCTTACCACGAGATAGTTGGTTTGCAAGTATAAGGTACAAACCTCTAACTAGACTGATGCAAAGGCCCATTAATCTCACCTCATCTCCATTTCCGTCCACTCCAAAATCTGTAGACAGGTGCACATACCCACAGCATAATCTACTATGCCAAAGCCATGGTTAGTAGCCGTTGTACTCCTAATTTCTCACACAGCAGTGAATGAAGTCCCCAATCTTGCATTCAGAGCTCTCCACAATCAAGTCTATTCTTGCCAGATATATTCCCCAAAGAAATATGTTCAGTGTACTTATTTACACAGCTAAGAGCAGTCTCTAAATTGTTAGCATAAAACAGGGCAGAGCTGGAAGTCTTAGAAGAAGCAATTCATTTTTTCACCTTTACAGGAAGATAAGAAAACAACCTTCTACATGTATTACTTTTGTTAAGGACATACATGCATTGGAAATATATATCCTATTAACTGGAGGTAACTGTCTATGCTGTGATTAATTAACATGTTCTAAAAGTAGAAGAGTACAAAGACTGTTAGCATTTTGAGAAACATAATATTCATATAATTTCCTTGTCAAAATTCTTATAATATTCCTTAATACTATTCATATAATGCCTTCTCCTGAAACAGGGTTGTAACAATTTAGCTTTTATAAATTTACTTACAAAGAATTTAGCTGTATAAGTTAAATGACATAATTCAAAATGTTTACTTTACAGGAAAATATAAAACTCAATTATTTGTTTGTTTAAATGGTAGATATAGAACTAGGTAATAGATAGAAAAAATAATTATTAAATATATTTCAGTTATCTAATGGTATTACGGACTGAATGTTGCCTCCTCAAATGTCATGTGTTGATGCTCTGACACCTAATGTGACTATATTTAGAGATAGAGGCTTTAAAGAGGTAATTAGATTAAATGAGGTCATAAGGGTAGAGCTCAATCCAATATGACCAGTGTCCTTATAAAAAGATGAGGAGATACCAGGAACATGCACAGGAAAACCCATGTGAGGGCACAGCATGAAGGCAGGTCCTACAAACCATGGAGAGAGAGGCCCCTGAGAAACCAGCCTTGCCAGCACCTTGATCTTGGACTTGAAGACATCAGAACTTCGATACGTACATTTCTGTTGTGTCAGCCACCCTGTCCCTGGTATTTTTTATAGCAGCCCATGCATACCAATACAAATGACAATTCAAGAAGAAAAATATTATAGTGATATAAAAAGAGAAAAAGGTAGAAAGGATGAGACAGATACATTCATAGCCACAACAGAACACATAGGGAGATGCAATGAATTTAGACATCAATACAGACACAGTGTCATGATGTCATAAAATAGCATGTTGCAATATTTTAAGAAATTATTGCTCAAGATGTCAGAATCACAAGTTTTCTCTACCATTTACATACAGATACCTTAGAACTTGCTCTGATGAACAGATGAACTTAAGGTGAAGCCCTGATTCCATTTTCAAGTCATAGATTCCGATGTTCTTGTTTAGAAAGCCCTCATTGAGAAACCATCGATATGCGCTCATGAAATTGCCTTTGGATTTTTTAGTCCTCTAATTGTCATGGTCCTAACAAGTGTCTTCATGGAGGACCACTGACCTCCATAATATTTTCTTGATATTCTAAGTACCATTATGAAAATAGTTGCTACCACATTTGGGGCAAATGGTTGAGATTATTACTTTGGCTATTAGTGCTCTTGAAATAAAAATTAATACACATATTTAGGAATTAAGGTGATCAAAAAGGTTTATATAAGATACGATAACAGAACTAAAACAGTGCTTCAGAAAAAAAAAAGATGAATTTTAATAAGGAATCATTTTAGGACTAAAATAGGTCCACAGTAAAAATTTCACATAATATCAAAATTAACCCAACAAGTTGCCAGGAAAATGATAACTCAACTCTACATCCAGTTTTACAAACACTTACGGCACTATATTCCGGAAATGAGGATCCAGAGAAACTAGGCAAACTGGAGTCATGAGTCCCGCGGGAAGACCTCATTGACACAGTTCCTCTCCAATTGCAGAATGCTTTGTCTGTTAGAAATATCATTGCAGGTTAACACACTATTTATCCAGGAAAAGTACACACTGATTATACTGCTTAATATTACAAAGAGGAAAGTATATCATCTTTATGGCCCCATTATTCTGTATTAAAATCACATCTTGTCATCTAATCAGAAAGAAATGAAGTGATAGCATTGCAGAGAGGGAGACTTCAATTAACTGACTTCCTCATACAGGAAAGCCCTCCTGCTTTTATTGCAGACAGTGTGCCCATCAGAAAATTAATAGGCTCCTCCTTCTAACTCCTTGCTCTTTGAGAACAAAGAGGCTTAAAGCAAAGTCATATTTGTGACTAGCACTTAAAAAATAAACAGAAAACTCTTTCCCTGTTAATGGAAATACTTTTAAAAAATTCAAATTTATTATGAAGGCACACAAGTTTTTAAACTGCAAAGTAAATAAAATTATTAAAAGTATTTTAGCTTAAATGGTAATAGATTGAAGGGCAAAAGTTTAGCCCGCATATACCCCCATGTTGGTTCTGCGTTGTGCCAGTTGTTACATGGGATTTCTGGAGAAACTGTTTTTTGTTTTGTGTTTTTTCTTAATGAGAAGGAGATGTAAGATTTGTTTATTTCTCAGATACATGAATCATTTTTAAAAGGGAAAAATTCAGTTCAATTCTTCCATCCAAATGAATCAAACTACTTTTACTTTTTTTCTAATACCTATTCATATACATATATTCTTTCCTGAAACTGTCAATTTACTACAGTTATCCATGGACAGGTTAATTTCATATAAATTTAAAGAAAACTCAAAAGTAAAAAATTCTTTCACTTCTTTGTTTTAATTTATTTTCAGATCATAAATTAAGTGTCTCACAAGAAGGCAGAGTAGTAACATATAGAATGTGATTCTCTCTCAGGGATATCATAATCAAATCACACATACACATCCTAGCCCATCTTAATGTTATAGGTATTTCTTCCATTTCAGTCAAAAAGAGTTTCTGCCCTCTATCCAAAAGGCAAAATCTTTAGAAGAGGCTGCATAATAAATTGTCTATTTCAGTCACAACTTAAAATAAATGAATGAAATTTATAATGGAATTAAATGTCAATAATGGGAATATTCTAGAGAACCTGAAAATATTTGTATCTGAGAAGAGGAGAGCAAAGGAAAGGCCACACATGTTATACTTTGAGAACTCTTATAAACAAGAGTTCTTAGAAATGTGCTAGTCCTCACAGCTCTTATGAAGCTTTTTTAACTAGTTTGAAGCACTCTGACTCACTAAGTCTATCCCTGGCCCACCCACCTCCCTTAATGAACTTCTACAATAACTGTTTCACATATTTTAGATAATTAGGCTCTCTTGCCAATCTCCTTTTTAAATGTATAAGCTATTCCAGGGCAAGATCTTACTTGGAACTTCTCTGGGCTTCTAGTTCATTAGCAATGTGATTAAGCCAGCTATCTAAACACTGGTAAGCAAGAATTAGCCTCAGGAGGTCAAATCTCACAAGCAAAAGAAATCTTCCTGATCACTAAAGAGCCCAATCCAAAATGACACTAAATGTTATACAACTTATTTTGCCAAAAGAGTCCGGAGCATTTCAAATATTTTATCTTGTTTACCCACAAAACAGACTCACGTACTCTAGAAGGCCATGTATTATTTTCTTCCGTCTATAGGTATCAGGCTAGAAAATATAGCTATAACTTTTCCACTACAGGAAGCAGTAAAGCCTCCACTAAAATCCTCAAGGTAATCATTCACACACTGATGTTATGCTAATGACTCCTCCTCAGAAGCCAGGCACAGAAGGTGACATGCCACAAATTCTGGTTTATTCCTCAAAGTCAGTCGAAAGTTATAAGCTGATAGTTGGAAGAATACCAGTCATACATCAAACTAAATCTTCACAAACCCTTCATGGGAACCAACAATCTAACAGATAATGCCACAGAGAAATAAAGACTCCGAATTCTAGTGGCCTGGTGTGTGTGTGTGTGTGTGTGTGTGTGTGTGTGTGTGTGTGTGAGAAAGAGAGAGAGATAGAGAGAGGGAACTAGCAGTAAGAATAAAATACTCTGAGATTAAACAAATGGGGAAAATACAATATCAGAATTTGGAAAGGAGCCAAGATGGTTCTATCAGATTAACAAGGAGACATTAGCTAAATAGTTGCTAATCTTGAATGTAAAAAAAAAAAAGTTAAATAACTACCTATTGATGTCTTCCTGTCTTTCATTTCCTCAATACTTATTTATAGTCCTTTTGAAAAATATTATTACACTGCTAGCTCATGTTATTTTGTTGTCTTCTGCATATCTTATTTTCCTATCTAGACTTAGAAGTCTCACTTGCTTTGTATTCCCCCCAAAACTAAATGCAATGCTGTGCCCCAAGCATATGTTCAGTGTATGCCTCTAGACCAATTTGGCACTTACTGAAAGGACAATCATCAAAACTGCTGAGTGAAAGATCCAATACAACGCAACTGGCATAAATATCTGAAGAAATGGAAAAGCCCTAAAAAATTTTTTTAGTTCTACTTTTTTTTCAGGGGCCAAATGTTATTTTTCACCAGACCATCTTCCCTCACTTTCTGGCATCATCATAATGTTTATAATGGCAATAGTTTTCAAACATATTTTAGTTGGAGGTGGCTTTTTATTTTATTTCACATTTTTATTCAAATTTACATAGTTAACAATGAGCCAATTATTTACACAGTTGGAAGATATCTCAAATCTAATAAGCATCATTATTTAGGAAACTTGAATTACTCAGATGTTTGACTAAAAACTGGTAAGATCATACAGTACAGCGATACTGCCATGAGAATGAAGAAGGAAGGGAGGGAGGGAGGAAGAATTCCTAGCTAGTTAAGATAGTCTCCACTTCTGTACTCTTTGTAGTGACAAGCATTTCCTCCTTACTGCAAATGGGTAGGTTGGTCCAAGTCACCTTAATATCAACTGAAGATCCAAAAACCATAAAAGTCAACTTTTTCAAATTTACTGTTTCAGAAACCAAATGTCCATCAGAAATAGTGTATGCAGCTGCCTGGCACAGAGCTGGAAAAGCCCCAATGAGAGTGTGATGTATCTTTACGAGGACTTGACAGAGCCCAAGCCACCACTGGCCTCAGTGGCCCCCGGTCCCGAGAGCCTCTTTTATGCCAAGCTCGTTGTTTCCCTTTTATCAATTCCCTTGTAATAATTAATTCTTTAAGTTAATTGCACATGCAGTTTTAATCTGTAGGTAATTACAAACAATTAATAGTTAGGAGACAGAATTAGCAGTTCTTGGTCTGATTATCTATATAATTAAAAGGGGTGGTAAACTAGAGTTGACAAATAGCATCTTAATCACTTGAATAATCAAACCCCAGAAGCCTGCTTGGGCAGCTGAATTCCATCTGTTATATCAGTTCAGATTTTAGATTCGGTGACTGAAATGTCCATTTAAATCAATTCATATTGTTAATTTATAGTCAAAAATGAACAATATGTACTTTAAAATGACAAACTATCTACCTTCCTTCACTTGTTTATATTGAGCTATTTCCAAAAGGATTCAGTAAAAATTTTCAGTGAGCTGACTGTATATCTACCGGATACCAGATAATATTCATGGCTCCCAAATATTATGGCCTAAGAAATCTAAGAAACGTGGATAACTCCTTTTGAACTATGTCTTTTTAATATTTTAAAATGTGTGCTAAGTGACGGCAAGTAAGATATACCTTTAATCCTTTTCCTGGCTATCTGTTGAGATCAGTTGTTTGTAGAAACAAAGCAAATACTACTGAGTTGGCCAGAAAGTCTGTTTAGTTTTTTCCATAAAATAAAAGACATGTTTTTCATTTTCACCAATAACTTTATTGATGTGGATATTTTAAGTATGTCGGCTATCTCCTGCTATTGCCTTCTAGTGGGTAGAGGCCAGGGGTGCTGCTAAACGTCTTCCAATGCATAAGACAGCCCCACACCAAACAGTTATTTGGACAAAACGGCAATAGTACCAAGAAACTTTACAAATCATTTTTGACACGTTCAATCAGTCACAACATTTTCTCCATACACTGCACAAATCTTGTGTGTATGTGTTTCAATCTTTCTTGAAATAATAAAGCATAATACAGTGAAAATGTTGCATATTTTTTCCATCTTCAATATTAAAATGGCTGCACAAAAATTCACCAATTTTGATTTTTTTTAAATGCACACTGATATGACAGCTTTCACAATACAACCTAACAAAATTGTTTTGAATGAAGTTAAAGACAACCAGGCATTATTAGAGCCATCGTTTGTTTAGAAAAAACTAAAGAAACTTTTTGGCCAGTCTAATAAAGCAGGATAAGGTTAATGTGAGTTAAAATATATATATACAAGAACTTTATTCTGATTAGGATATAATACAAAACAGTGGCATTATCGTTACATAACTGCATAATACCTTTCTGAATTGCCACGTATTTGAGCAAGTTTAGCAGATGCTCCCAAGCTCATACTGAATGAAAAACGTTCAAAGAAAATCATGATTTCTGGCTCAGTGTGGCTGTTAATTTCAGCTCAAGGCAGGACCCCGACAGCCTCACTAAAACACCATAGCTCTAAGGAGAAAGACGGAAATCTTAAGGTCACAAAAAACTAAGTCTAAGCACCCACCAATTTGCAGATGAGGAAAAAATGTTCTTTAATTAGGATGCTGAATTGAGGAAAACAATCAATGACCTTTGCATAATAAAAACCCCACCCCTCATGAAAGAAGTTAGAGTCTTAATACCCCCCAAGGAATAAAAATAAAGAACAAAAAACATTTCTCCATAATGAAGGTGCTGTATTTTGAAGCTCCAGTTCCTTCTCTGCACCCTCATCTATCCCGATCCACTTGGACAGTGCAACTTTAAAAAAACAGCTAGAAAAGGAAGTAATCCTGACTGTAGCAGTGCCAGGATTTAATAGTTCTATTGGAAGGAAAGAGCTCCGTTCAGAGGGAGAGACTGGCA